TTTCAGTCTATGTTCAAAGACACGGCCATGGCTTTTCAGGTGCTGGTGCTTTTCAAGTCCTGAATCAGATGGCACATATATCTGGAGAATTCTAGGTTTAAACTGGAGAGTAAATGCAAAGTATTATCTTTATTGGGGTGGGGGATATCCTCCACTCTTTCCACCATTTATAGCTCTTTTTTGTAAATTCTGTGTGCTCTGACTACATCATGTTTGACTGATGGCTAATCCTGCAAAAAGCAAGGTTTTTCACTTTATTTGAATGAAGAGGGAGTTTCTTTTACACTGCAATGTGCAAAACTGTTCTGGTTAGTTTTCTTTTTATGAAAAGCATATCAAAACAATGAGAAGTACTGGAGAAATTAATAATAACTTACATGGGCTCTGTTTTATAAGGCAGAGTCCAAAAGAGTACCACTAGTATAAATGGCTCTCCCATTCTCTCTTAGTAATACTTCACTGAGTTGATGTCTGGGGCAAGGTGTGACCATTTCTCGGCAGAATGATTCTTCTAGATTTTACTTGTTTTGGTGTATCTTCAGGAGTACGCTTTTATTGCCTAATACTGAAATTGCTAGTTGGAGGAGCTTGTCATCTGTCTCTTGTCACACGTAATTTTAATTTAGCATTCCAGCTTTTGTAGTCCTACTCGCTCACTTTATAAACCTTAACTGCTCCTCCAGTAAAAGGCTGCCTTGGATGATCAAGGCAGGAGAAAGAGCCTCATCGGCTTCATGCCCTGTTCTTCTCTCCAGCCTTCCATCCTGGCCCAGCCCAACAGCACAACTGAGAAATTCCTTTGGGAAAGGGTTAGATTGAATCCCTGCAGTCCCAGCAAATTCACATGGTTTCTCTAATGTAAGAACATACATAGATGTACTAGATGAGATGTTCTTGTAACCAAGTCTACTTAGAGTTGTTATTCATTGCACCTCAAATAAAGAATAGCAACTGTTCAGCTGATGGCATCATATCTTGTTTAAGTTCCTGTTCTTAAAGCTGACTTAAATGTCTGCCAAGAAAGGTAACTGCCAACACAAAAAGAAGATTGTCTCTCTTGGGAGATGATGGTAAGAAAGCGGGATGGTTTATTTTCTGATATTTTCCTTTATCACTTGTGATTCGGAAGATTTGCGTATTCTAATACACCAGGAATTGAAACTAGTCACAAGAAACAAAGCTTGAAATGACTTAGTGAAAGACTTAGAGTTTTTCAGTGATTCCCATTTTAAGGAATGGTTTAAAAAAGCAAAGCCTCAGGGTTAAAACAAACTCTTTTACCTCTTTTTACATATGCTTCAAGCATCTGAATCTACTCAACAAGCATGCTGTTTTGCAAGTTTCTTATTTTCTTTCCACAGAATGTCAAAAACACTGCGGGAAGTGCCATGTATGCAATATAATTGATATGGATGCTCTTCTGAAATGATTTTTGTTGTTATGTTTCAAGATAAAGGCAATCATGTATTTATAGGAAAAATAAATACATATGCCTTTTGCACTGTGTTGTAGCTGAAAATTAAATATTTTTCCACTCAAATTTTGGCATATTTCCTGGAATCACCGAGCTTTCAGTAACATTTCTAGTTAATATTCTGCAGCCTACTGTTGTATTCACCACAGCTGACAGGAGCTCAGAGAGTTTGTCTTTATTTAACCTTAGAGAGGAATCCCAGGCGTGCTCTGTAGTTGACAAAGCTGTTGGGGAAGGATCTGCTCCAGACCACAGTGAAGAGAGTGTGGGCAGGGTCCTGCTCTGAATCATGCCTGCCACAACATTGCTCCGTTGGTGATACTGGAAATCCTGCAAAACAAGTCTCCTAAAAGTGAAGTTGCCCGTTGTCAAGCTCTGATTAATACTTTCGTTCATTATCCATCCTTTTCCTTCTTTGGTTTATATCTTGATGAATCTTCTTGTTAAAGCCCTGCATCCCACTGCTTTTTGTGATGTTTGGAAGTTGGGGGCACTGATTAGGACATTCCTTTTCTATGTATATTCTTGTGTAGAGGGGGTGGAAAAACATGAAAAGCCCCAGTGAGAATAAACATCCTGTATCACCTTCGCTCTTTTGAGACTTAAAATTGTGTTGGGGTGGCAGGAGGGAAGATGATTCAGCTAAAAGTCAGAGCTTTTAAAGACACTGATTCTGATTCTCTGCTCCATTACACATTTTTCACACTGATGTAGCTGCACAGGGCTGCTTTGTCTCTTTCTTGTCAGCTGGTAATAAGTCAGGAGAACGTAAATGGCCTGTGGCATTAGGACCGCCTAACAGTTTGATTGGTGATTTTGTAGTCACTTGTTTAGAATAATTTTGTTGATGTGGTTGACTATTACCCAGCTAACTGTTAGTAACTATTATAATTATATTATTATAGATATTATAACTATATATAACTATTAGTAACTATATGGTTATCTATTAGTTTTAAGACAGTTATTAGCCCCAAAAGAGTAACTATTTGCTATGTCAGCAGTTAGTAGTAGTATTGGAAGTAACCTTAGTGTTAGCAATACTTATGCCAGGATATAAATACTTGTCCTTATTTGTCAGTAAACACTGACATTTAAATGACATGAAAGATTATGTATTGATTTCTATGGATTTAATTCTCTAGAACTATCTTGATGTTTATTTTCTCCCACGTTAAGGAATGAGTTAAAGTTATACTTGGTGAAGTAGATATTCCAGCACTAGACATTATTTGAGTGTGTGAAAATTATTGAAAATATGTATTTTACCAAACCGAGCCTGATTTCAGTTGTACATTTTACTAATACTGGAAGGAAATTTCCATTGTTAGAAAGATCTGGAGGTCTCCCCTCATGAGAAGTGCTCTCAAAATGAAGAAGTGGGATGCTTGTCAGAGATAGGAAGCATAGTCAGCCTGAATCACCATGCAGACCTGTAGGGGTTGATTTGTAGCCAGTATCTGCAAAATAAACTGCAGGGTTCAGTTTGCAAACACTATTGTGAACCAAACCCTGCGGGGCTCAGTTTGCAAACACTATTGCGAACCAGAGCCTGCAGGGTTTGCCGAGCTCCGGTTACTATTATTGCTCCTAGTAAGGCTTATTATCCTGTCACAGAAGATGTAAGAAAATCCATCTCTCCACTTTAAACATGATAAGCCTTTGTCACCTACAATGCAATTAATGTTAAAAATAGAAGAACGCTGATGATAAGATTGTGACTTGCAGGCAATGAGCCATTGTCCAAGTACTGGAGACTTATCTGGAGGGCCAGTCAGCCTATACGGTTTGCTGTCAGTTTGCTGATTGCCATTTCTCTCTGAGTTTGATGAAATATTCATGGGTTTGCTCTGCTCTCTGCAAGCACTATTGATTTCTTGTATAAACGTGGCTATATTTAGTCTAGACAAATGGAATGTGGATTGCTGCTGAATAAATGGGATGAAAGGCTGGAGGTTTGCCTGTCCATTTCTCTTGGTCTGTGGCAATTATTTATAATCAAGAGTAGTTTTTGTAAGTTAAAGGTGATTTTTTATAATTTAGTGATTAGTCCCAGAACAAAAGTAAGCACTTAGACAGAATCATTCTGTTGGGACAGTGGGTTAAGAAGGCAAATTATTCTCTCAGGTTTACAATCAGATACTAGGATTTAAAGAAAAGAAAATGGCCTGGAAAATTGTATGTTTCCAGAATTTTGAGAAGACTATGATCAATAGAAGAGATTCGGTGCTTCATCTCTTCTTTTTATAAAACTTTTTACTAATAGGTTTGATCATACACTTAGAATTCATTATTTCCATTTGCTGCAGTTTCAACTTCTGCTGCTTCAGTTTTACTGCTCCTGCTTGCTTGAACATTTCTGTTTCATTCTGGTTTTCTCCCTGAAAACAAATACAGCCGTAGCAGAGCAAAAGGAGAAAATACACTTAAAATCTTGTTCCCTAGTCACTTCCGACAGCGTGTTTGTTTTCAGTTAATAATCTTATTTTCCAATGAAGATAGTAGAGCAGTAGGAACCGGAGTGAATGTGTTTGTGTTCCACTGCCCTCTCGTGGATGGAATCAGAACTGCTGAGCTTTAGCAGAAAGCTTCAGCTGCTATTTATTTTCTTCTTGTAGAAACGTTACTTGCTAGTTTTTATTTCTTTTGAAACAGATAAAGTTACACTCTGTCTCTTCACTTAATGTGAAAATCTGAGCTTTACATGTATTGTAGTGGAAATCATCAAATCTCATGTGCTGCTTTTTGGTCCCTTCAATTTAAATAAGGAGATAGAAAACCACAGGATTCTTCATTAAGTACTTTAATGCTGGATTAACAATATATATCATTGCTGCCACAAATTGGAATAATTCAAGATGTTTGAATTTTCTTTCATGCCATATATAGTGTATTATGTCTAATCCACTCCAAGCATGGTGGTCACTTTTCAAAAAAAAAAAAAACTGTATTAAAAAGTCTTGGTTTGTGTGTCAAATTATTTTCCTATAATTTTGAATTTTTGTTATTCCTATGTGTTTTCCAGGTATATTTACATGCAGTAGCTATGTAGCATTAGGTAGCTGTTCATGTGTAACACCATCCCCAGAAAATCTACATGCTAGCTTTGGAAAATCTCTTGCAATGCAGAGAGAACTGGCCGGCATTCATTTTACACTGAAGAAGTGCCCTGAATGTTTATTGTGAAGCATTAGTAGAGTCTCAGAGATTCTTCCTAAAAATTGCTTCATTAGGCTATGATGGGGTTTTAGAAGTGGGTTGCTTGTTAGTCTATTTAGCAGAATATTAATCTCAGAGTATTTCTGCAGAGAATGGAAAGTGATAAAATAATTTATGAAACCTCCAGTTATAAGTAGGAATGTCTGAAGTTTGCATACTGCGTAGATTACATGAGTGTTTTGTTAGATCTGTACATTGAAGAAGTCTCTTGAGTGAAATTGGTCTTTTCCCCAGTAGGAATGAACTGTATTCTCCTTCTGCAGTTATATTTAATATATATATACGTTTTGTTGTTTTCTTCCCACAGTGGATGTAAAGTCAGAGGTTCCCGTGGGATTAGAGCCTATCTCACCATTAGACTTGCGAACTGATCTCAGGATGATGGTTCCCATGGTGGACCCAATTATGCGTGAAAAGCAACTACAGCAGGAACTACTTCTGATCCAGCAGCAGCAGCAAATTCAGAAACAACTGCTGATTGCAGAGTTTCAGAAGCAGCATGAAAACCTGACCCGCCAGCATCAGGCCCAGCTCCAGGAGCACATAAAGGTAGCAACATTTTTCATTTATCCCTCAGTTTATCTGCAAACTGAATATGCTTAGGCAAACATGAAAAGGGAACATGCCTGAAAGGTTTGCTGTGACTGAGAGATGGTGTTTGAGTGCTTATTTCTCTGTATTTATGTGATAAAAGCCTTTTCAAGCAAAACTGCTAGCACCTACCAGTGACTTGCTCAGTACTATGAGACAGTACTATGAGAATCATCAAGCTCACGAAGCCACCACGTCCACAGAAAATCAAACTACCTATCTTACAAAGCTGGATTTTCAGCTAGACTTCAATATGGCTGTCTTTTCTGTATGTGCAGTTTTGAGTATCTTAGAAGACTGCTTTTGTGGGCTACTGTTTGATGCCTGCAAACCAAGTTGATAGGCAAGTGCATAATATTTGCATTTGCAAAATGGAGGCAGGCCCTGAAAGTGTTATGTTCATTCTTCTCTGAGCTGCCTCATGTAATGTAAAAAGAAAATTATTTATGGGATTACGTGCACTATGGAAAGATTGTTATAATGGATTTTGACCAGGAATTCATGATCTTTTTATTTTTCCTTCTGATCTACTTGCTATTATGCTTCTGTGCTAAGCATCCGCTTGATGGAGCTGACAAATACAGCGGAGCACAGCAGCCAGAGTTGGGTGGTGCACTGGCAAAGAACCCTGTGCACTTTCCAGCCATTTTTGAAGTGAAATCAGAGCAGCAGGCTGCTACCTGACATTAGAGTTCAATTTAGTGACAGCCAGTAATGCACTATCCAGCTTAAAAGACTGGGGAAAGTTGGTTAAGAGGTGAAAAGAAGTGTAAGCACAAAAGAAAGCACTGATACTCAGTTATTCAAGGGGGTTGTTTTAGCCGAGACTGACCTAGAAAACAGTGCAAACTGCACTTTCTCATGTCTTTTTGTTCTGTGCAAGTTACAACAGGAACTCCTAGCCATTAAACAACAGCAAGAACTCCTTGAAAAAGAGCAGAAACTGGAGCAGCAGAGACAAGAACAGGAACTGGAGAGGCATCGCAGGGAACAACAGCTTCCTCCCCTCCGAGGCAAAGAAAGAGGCCGAGAAAGTAAGAGTCAATGTACCATGAATCCTAATAAGAAATTAATCTATTCCCTTTTGCCCTCTCCCAGCCGAAATAGACAATGAACAGGAACCTGAAGCAAGGCTATTACTGTGTGAAATATGCAACTAGAGAAGTCAAGGATGTGCTTGCAGAAAGGCAGGACCACCTGCTGCACCCACAGAAACACATTGCTGGTTTGTGTGCAGACTTGGAGGACTGTAGAAAAGCACATTTTGACAGACCCGTGTACATGCCTCTTAAGAATCTAACTCTTTTTATAAAAAGGGAGGGAATTTGAAAGTCTAAACCTTCACTCGAGAGCTTCTTTCTGAAGAGGTTATTTGCCAATACAGCAAACAATACAAAACAGCAAAAAGTCAACTTGCTGATTAACTAATCTGATCACTGTTTCAAGATTGAAAATACAACAACATATTTAAGAATATCTTGGCTGAGACTTCTGTATATTTTTGCTAGTACTTTTTCAAACTGTCTTTTGTTCTTGATACCATTTCATGAGGCCCAACCAAGAGTTATTTCGAGCTCATACATAGCTCTAAGGCTAATGACAGATACAAAGGTTACTGTTGGAATTTAGTGCTCACTAGAGGGAGACAGATACAAATAATTCTCTTTAGTGAGGTCAGTTTAAAAATCAGGTTGTAGAAGTACATTGTGAAGGTATTCAAAATGCAGCTGCCATGAGTAGTTGCCCTGTTGAATGAGCACAAGAATTAACTGACAAAGACTGAAGCAGAAAAGACCTGTACATTATGCTCACGGGGATCATATGCTCCTGCCTTTTTTCTTGGTGGAAAAATTTATCGGTTAAACAGTTGTAGGTGTACCGTATTGTAGACTTTAGAAGTCAATGTATCCATGGTGCTTCTGGTACCTTGAATGATGAATCCATGAAAGCATCACCAGCTGATTGACCCAGCAGAGAGAGTGTGGCAGAAGCCACAGAAACAAAAGGTTCCTATAAGTGGTATGAAAAAGCAGTTTCCATAGAAACAGTTGGGCTCTATTAGTAATCCCACCAAAGGAAGAGCAGCCATGTGAACTCAGTGGTTCCATTCTCAGTTTGGTTTGCTGCATGGCTGTTCAGTATGTAGCAGCCAGCCAAGTAGCACTTGTGACCCCTCTGGGCCTGGCCCCAGCATTTGCTGGTGATGATCTACTTAATGAGTAGAGGAAAGAAGGAAGGTGTGGGGAGGGGAACTAGGGTCTGAAGCTGAGGAGTAGTAGAGGTATTTATGGGAACTGGGTCATAGGGGGACGTGCTCACCAGCTGGCAGTACCATGTCAGGCTTGGGTAACCAAATACTTGAGTATTAGTATGCCTTAGTGCTGCTACTTTAAAGGAAATGGCTTTTCTTCCCTTTTTTATCACTGTTTATCAAAACCTGAAAGAAGATTTTCTTTTTCTTTTTTTTTTTTTTTTTAATGAAGAGTATTACAGCTGTGAGTAAAAAAGCATGTCCCATGGTGGAAGTAGGAATTGGCAGTTTAACCTGACACTGACATGCTTACTTATAGTACTCTATTGAGCTAGCCACCAACAGAGGTCAAAACACACTGTTTCTTCCTGGCATTTTGGTCTTTCTATCTGTTTTGTATTGTAAGAGTAGAGTTATCAACTGTGACTCATATTTCAGGCTGTGTTCCATCTTCCAGACATCACAGGTATAGGCTGTTAAGAGGCTTGAATAAAAAGGCTCACTGCTGGCTCTTTCTGCTGCATTCTACTCTTTACCAAGACAGTGTTCAGAGGGCAGTTTTGCTGTGCTATTACTATTACTTTACTGAAGGAAAAAACATTCTTTACTGCAAACTCAAAGTGACCTTTTATCACTATCTTTTTAGTTCTATCCTTGGTTTTATATTTGGGAATTATTAGGAAATAATTTAAATTCTTTAGATACATCTGGCCATGGATAAATGGCCTCATCTGCTGTTAAAGTATTCCTTATGACTTCACTGGATTTCTGGGTTATGGCCAACTTGAATCTTCTACAGACAAACATTTAATCTGAATGTTATCTCATTTTGAATGATTTCCACCAATATTTTTTATAGTTTGCAACACTTCCAGCAGCAAGACACAGGCTCTTTTTTGTGTTTTGGCTTTCATTTACTTTTAAAATATAATTTTTTAAGTAAAGATAAGATATGTTTAATTCTGTGTGTTTTAGGGGCAGTGGCCAGTACAGAAGTGAAGCAGAAACTTCAAGAGTTCCTGTTGAGTAAATCAGCAACAAAAGACTCCCCAGCGAACGGGAAGAATCATTCCATGAGCCGCCACCCCAAGCTCTGGTACACGTATGTTCAATAATAAGCTGTTTCCTTGCCTCATCAAGGTATCTGCTAAAACTTGCCAGAATGCTTCTCCAGCAGGGATATTGGGAGTCTACCTCCAGAATAAGATAGAAGTTTAACCAAAAAGTTAGCAAAAAGCCAGAAGTGTAGTATTTCTGATTGAATTGAAGAGTACTTGGTGGTTGATGATAAAGTGAGAGCTGTACAGAACAAGATGGTTTCAAGATTTGCATAAACACTTGATTTCAACTGCTTCATCTCTTGATACCATCACAAATTTTTCAACTTCATCTGTCATATTTCCAGCTCTCCAATTTTTGCACTTAGAACAACTTTGTGTTTGTTTTACTTGGTTTTTGAATCAATCATAAAATTGGTTTCTTTTTGAAGAGATGCTGTTTTTCAGCAAGTTTGGATAGTGTAAGTAATTCTGAAGGATTTGGGGAAGGATAGTGGTTGTTTAACTTTTTTTACCCTCCTGGATTTTGGTATCCTAAACTGCATGTTCTGATGATCCCCTGTCCCTGATTAGAATCTGCTCAGACCATCGAAGCAAGTGATTTTGTTGAGTCCTGTACTGAGCATATTAACATTTTAAGAGTTTACACTTTTCCCCCCTTCTTTTTTTAATAATTAATTCCTTTTTCACTTCCTCATTAAAACAGACATGTAAGTCAATCCAACAAAATGAACACTGGATGCATTTCTGAAAGATTTCAATGTTATCCACAAATTGAGCTTCAATAGGACAAACAGAAATGCGTGTGGTACACTAAATTTTCATGTAGTTCTTGTTCTTTTTAAAAAGACTCACTGAAGGCCTGCCTTGGATTTTCCATTCTAAGCTAATGAGAGCATCGTAGTAATTCATTGTTTCTGGTGGATATTTTTTTTTCCAAATAATGTGTAAAATTCTCTTGAGTATGTAAGATTTCTGGACTAATAGTCCAAGCTTAGTTCTGTCTTCAGACAAGTGGGAATGAGGAGCTCTTCAGAGGGATGTCTTCTACACTAGGGAAAGTAGTACTTCCTCTCATGGTAGTGCCCCTTTTGACGGAGAAATATTATTACCGACCCTACATTGGAAAGATAGGGAGAGACTCTGTAAAAGGCCAAGTAAAATTATGTTTAGATAAACACAGCGTTGGAAAGCTTCCCTCTGTCCCACTCTAAATAGAAAAGTCAACCAAACAAAAAAAAAAAAACCCACCCTGTCTCTGGGCCAAATGATGCAATTTCTTTACAATTTGCAGTTTCCGTGTTCAGAAAGAGCTGCCCACACTAATTCTTTCATACAGCAGTTGTCAGAAAGCACTCTTCAGCTCAGGGATTCTCTGCTGACATGAATGTGATGTGCTGCAGAGTGGTGTGTTTTTTTTTTTTTTTTTTTTTTTTTTGGGACAGATAATAATAACTCAATTTTTTTTGTTAGTTTTTTACAAGCCCCCCTGCCCTGAAAATCCCCCACATTTTGATAGAAGAGTCTGGATCAATGTACATCTATTTGTACATAATAAACAAGACTTAAATGGCTTTTGCTGTGCCTCAGCTGGTTCGTATTAAAATGCAGCAATCTAAAATGGTCAATTCCCCAAACTGGTGACAGATCCTGTCTGTAGGTCAACATGACTCTTATCCTATGAGACTTTTATAATGAGTGCAAAAAGCGCGTTCTTGGGAATCCCGAGGAGTTCCATAACTTACTGTAAAAGTGAAAATGGTTACATGAGCCTGTGGTTTGTGCACACTTAGAGGAACAAGAACATAAACACAGCTGAGACATGTGTACAACATGTGTAGATAGTTACTGCTGGTCACCTCAGTGACTGCTAATTTGTGACCTCTCTGTGTCTGCTGCAGGGCTGCCCACCATACCTCACTGGATCAAAGCTCTCCACCCCTGAGCGGGGCCTCGCCACCATACAAGTACACTTTACCAGGAGCACAGGATGCCAAGGATGATTTTCCACTTCGTAAAACGGGTGAGTTAGCATAGTTTATTCGAGCCCCTTACCCAGCAATTCTCCCACCCTTTATTTTAAGCAGGCTGTCCATCAGCAAGGCATATATCATAACCCACAAAGCCTGTTTAGGATGATACTGTGGGTAAGTTCAAAGATCCTGACTGCATCTTTACCAGGTCACATGGTACCAAAAGTCAGTGTTTCCCAATGCTAACAGCTAGTGCAAGCTTCAGTTTTGATAATTCTAGTTTCTAAATGGAGCATCATTTCACAGATCTTTTATGGCATTATTTTCTTTGTCTCTATTCCTTCTGGGTTTAATAGCTCTCTCTCTTTTGCATGGTAGATACAGTATCTATCTTTAAATGGTATGCTGCCCTTAGACAATGTTTTTCAGGACATTTTGAGAGAAATTCATGGAAAGAGGAGGATTTGGATTAATATTACATTCTGTGTCATTGGTTGTCAAAGTTTGTGTGTGCTTGTTACATATAGGAATGTGTAATATTGTACAAGAAAATGTTCATTTGAGAGTTACAGAATGTTTCAGAGGATTTAGCAACTGAACCTTTTGTCTTGACAGCAGGTGAACTGTAGACTTGACTTTTTCTGCACCATAAAGAAGGGTAGAAGGATGGTGGTAGAGTCAATGTAACTGTTGCCTCAGGTCCTTGGTGCAGTGACCGGTATCCAGGAATGCAGGGAGACACTAAGAGAAGGGGGAAAAAAAAAGAAAAGAAAACATTAGATCGCTTATTGCATGAGTCTGCTGTTGAGTGATATAGTTACATTCAGAGAGAAAGTCTGACCCCCTACTGTGCTAACAGCCTTTGAATGTGATTTAGCCACTGAGAGATTGAAAACTAACTGCAAAACTGGTACTGACTTGAAAAGAAGTGGCATTTGGAACCAGGATACAGTCAGAAAGAAAATCGAGTCTGTATCTAATACTTTAGGGCAGACTCTCTGAGCTCATATTATATCCCCAAATATTTTCAAAGGAATGAAAGCATGAAAAGCAAAATGCTAATTTATTCTAGCTGAATTACTCTTTGTACAATATGGTGGCAATATAACAAGGTCCTATAAAATCTTGCTCAGGCTATTCAGTCACAATAAGCCCTTATGTGGTTCTCTGCTTCATACCAACACATATTTTCTGTGCCAATAGAATATACATTTTCATTTTTTAAACAAAAGGATACACTCTACATCTTCTAAATGCTGTGAATTTTGAAATGCAAGTTTTTCAAATTCATGTTTTAATTTTTCTTCTGTGTTTATATATCTTAAATGTTATGATTGATATTTATGATGTGTCAGACTGTTGATCTGTAAAACAAAACATTTTCAAACATTGTAACAGTAAAGTTCTCGTGCAGCTGCTAATACTTTTATATCTCAGTGGGGGTTTCAAAATATTCCTTAATTCAATTCCCATTGTCTGCATAAGAGGACTATAATATAATTAAATCCAGATGTTTTCTATATGTTATTCCAAATATTTGGGCATGCAATGCATCAGTTCCAAAATTGAACAAAGGACATGATGACTCTCTGAAAAGATATCCACAGAATAAATAGACAAATACTAATATAATCATTAGCATAACTGTTTCTATGACATTTACATAGTGATTCTGATAAGCAAATATAAATGAAGTGTACAGCATGTTGTATGTTAGCAAGGGAGTATATTTGATAGCTTTCCACATCCGTGAAAATAGCAACTGTTAAATATCCTGTGTACACATCCAATCTCTCTGTGTACTAGAGTTGTTTAATTCCAGCCTTCAGCAACATCCTCACAAAGTTTGTAATGATTGTTCATCAGGTTGAGAGTAAAAGCAACAGGAACTAGATCGACACAAGTCAAATGACCCTAAACTGATCTGGGTGGTTATAGGGCCATCCTCCAGGCAGAGGGGACATTGTGGAGCCTGTGTCATCCTCATGGGACCTTACTAGACAAAGATGTCCCACGAACAGTCATGTATATGGACAGGCTATAAGCCTGCAGAAATCTGACCTTTGCCATGAGGGGTGAACCTCTTTTCCTTTCCTTTAGGCTATGAACGCTTATTGCCACTGGCTCCTGGCAAACCCTCTGTGGTGCTGAACCTGCATGAAGTCAGCAATTCATACGAAAGCAGACCTCACATTCCTTTCAGCTTTAAGAAAGGAATACCTGTTGCGGGTCTTAATCACAGCTTTGTTTTGCTTCTCAATTTTATTTTCCATATTCATAGCGTGATATACAGAGGTATCTTTTTCTTCTCCAACTTTAATATAATGCTCTTGGAAGATAATGCTGATTGAAGATCAGATTTAATGGGCAGCAAAGCTGAACGATTCTCTTCTGACATCCTAATGTGTTTTTCAGTGCTAAGGAAAGACTGAGTGTCGCACAGGCATTGTAAATTATGAGTCTTCCTTGCTCACTTTCTTGTTCAGTAATCTATTTAACCTTTGCTTCATTAGTCCTGAAGTGTCATCTTCTTTTTAATCTTTTTAAAATTAATTCAGAGAGTCTTTGGTAAAGAGGAAAATATCCTGTGCAGCTTTTACTCCTCTAGCATCTAAAATGATGGGATGCATAGATAACTAGGGTAAGACTTAAGAGTCTTGCTGTTTATATGTTCACAGTTAGGTACCAGAGCTAACATCCTAGTGCAGTGACTATGGTTACTCAATAACTCTCTTAACCACATGGATTATTCCTTTCTGTACAAGATGCAGCAGAACTTGTCAGCAGTGGGTTTCCCACAGCTTAGCTGCATGGAGGATTGGGACTGTCCTAGGGGCTAGCGGCCAGGATATGCAGCTCTTTGCACAGCTGTATTCAGATGCTCTGTGTTGACAGACTTTCAAAAGAGCAGAGCAAAGGGAGCTATTGCTTCACTGGACAGATAAATGTACCATAAGGAGAAGCTACACATCTGTAGCTAAGAGCAGAATTTAGCCTAAACAGTATAAGATCAAATTTTTAAAATGCCCATGACTTTCACCATGGATACCAGTTGTAATGTGTGTTTTCTGCAAAGCACCCAAAAGCCTGAGCAGCACATGGCTCATTAACTTTCAATGAGACTAATGCATCTAAATTACCCAGAGAGGTTTGAAAATTCCTCCCTATTACTGAACAATTTTGAAATTCATACTGACTGTTCCAAGAGCTCTGACGGGAGCTATGCACTTTTGAAGACCTGATCATTTAATATGGGGAACTTTTGATTGTTGATCTCCATAATTCCATGTCTATCTATCAGGGAAAATATCTGCTTGATGAGTTTACCATAAAACTAACAAAATGTAGCAAACAACATGGGTTTGATGGGGTAGAAGTTCTTTTCACATGAAGTTTTGGGGTTTTATTTTTTACCTTCTTGAACTAAATGCAGAAATTCTGGCAAATGGCCATAACATTTGCATGTTTTTCAATCTGTAACATTTCATTTTCTGTGTGCAACTGTTGATGCAAACCAGCAAAAGCCAGTAAATTCCAATAAAGGTTAGCTTTCTAACCAAAGCTTCATGTTTTTTTAAAATATTGCTATAGATGGAATTTCTGCATTTTGCCTCATGTTTTGGCTTTTGTTGGAAGAAATTCCTGGGGACATCATCACATCAAGTATAAACTTTTTTCTTTCCTGAGTTTAGCACAATCATGACAGAATGGGAATGTCAATCAATACTTTCATTTGTTTTGGTTTTACACCAGTTGAATCTCTTCTCACTGATGGATTTGTAAGCTTACCACTTGCATTTTGCTTAGGGATCTGAAGATCCCTCACAATTGTACTATTTGAGAAGATATTTGTAGCTCGCTTTCCAAAAATTGGAAGCATGATCAATGGAAATAGAGCATGGGTTTTTTTAAATAGCAAATAATACAAGGTTCTTGCTTGGAGCAGGGAATTATGTAATTTCATATAGGAAAAAAGAGGACATGAAGGATTGTTTAATATTGTGATGAAAGAGAGGAAGAAGGCTGTGCTGCACAGTCATGAAGATCACTTTGTAAAAAACATATTAAGTTAACCTGATTAGGCAGTAGAATCTCGTGTAATGAGAGAGATTCCTGAATGAGAAGTCAGCAGATGTAATCTTTTTAAAAAAGAAATTAATTAGAATATTTCCTTAACATTATTCTTTTGCATTTAGTGACTCAGTAATTTACTGCAGCAGTTGAAACTGAGAAGAAAAACATTTCGTGTGTGAAAGTTTTTTTCCCTTTCATGCCACCAAATTCCATTTCTGTTTGCATTTTCTAGGAAAACACTCTCCTGTGAAGTAACAGTATATGAAAAAAAAAAAAAAAAAAAAAAAAAAAAAAAAGGCTTAGAGGATCACAAACCCTCAATTACCATGTCTGCCAAAAGGAAGACGTCAAGCTCAGTAGTGAGAAGCATTATTTTTCTCTGAGTTTATGAGTGAGCACAATAAATGGGAGAGGCACTTCGTTTATTGAAGCAGGGAAACAAGGCAAACTTAATATAATTCTCCTCATTTTATTCCATTTTTCAGGGGTGCTAAGCATTCCTGCCTCTCAGAGTCCCTGTTTACCTGGGTTAATGAACAGTCTTGATAAATTTGGACTAGGTGATATGCCCAATGGAAATCACCGGTGCTTATCACAGAGAGAGGGGGGAAAATAAAATATTCTGATTCCCAGCCCCTTTTTCTTGATTTGTCTTTCCATTAATTACCAGACTTTTTAAGCCTTCCTAGATTCACTATCAATAACTTAAGAGTAGTAAGAGGTTTTAGGAAGAAAAGAAACTTTCACTTGCAATTGAAGAGTGAATCTAAAGCAAACTGTTGTTAACAGCTTCTTCCAGATTCATGTAATGAACAGGCCAAAACAGAGTTCAGCCCCCAGGAGCCAGCAACTCTAAGGAAATGTAATACCATTGTAACTACTGTGCTGGGCTGCAGTCATCTCAGGTCCATCAGGGTTCTGCAGCATCTTAAGCTGGGGGTGAGGAGGGGTGCCCTGTCACTCTAATTTAGCTCAA